ATGAATGTGTGGAGAGAAGGCAAACCCACAAACCACTGTGTGTCCACACAGGCCTGCCCATCCTATATATGTCCCTCCTCTGTGGCCATGGGAGGCCTGGGAAACAGCCCCTTCAGCCCAGAGCAGAGGCCCTCACACCTGGTACAGGAGGTGTGTCCAGTGTTCCTGATTCATGGTTTAACTACGAACGCTTGTGAATGCAAAACTCTTAAAAAGGATAAACTACGGCAAAGTTAGCAACACAACAGTCACTCTCAGACACCCGTGTGCTGTCTTGAATGAGAGCTTCAGGAGCATGGTTTGTCCTGTGTCATCCTGGCTAGATGGCTGGTGGCCACTGGCTCTTCCGGGGCAGGAAGCCAGGGAGCGCCGGGGTCAAGGAGAGCCCAGCAGGGCACAGGGAGGAGAGGTGACCTGAGAAATGCCCCGGGTCTGGAACTGCACCAAGGGGCGCGGAGGGGGGCAGAGCGGGAGCGGCAGGTCAGGCCAGGTCCCTAAGTCTCTCACGTGAAGCTCACGTAGGCCCAGTGCTGCGGGTCCCTGCCTCCCAGCACGCCCTCCTCCAGTGGGCGGAGCAAAGGCCCGGCTTTTCTGCGGAGTCTCCCGCCCTCCCAGCGGGAGAGGGGTTGGTGGTTTAGGCTCCACAGAGGCATCACCCCTCAGCTGAGTCAGGAATAGGCAGGGGTCACCAGACCTCGGGGCACCAGGGCAGAGGTGGTTGGAGGTTCTGGGGACCCGGCACTTTGTAGAAGTGATGTAGCTCCCTCCTGCACCCCCCCCCATTTCCTTTTCATGGCCCCCACCTGCCCCGGGCCGCATCCCCACCCAGCCTGATGCCTCCAAGAAGTGAGCAGAATACACTGGTCCTGATTGGCTGGTGCTAGCAGGTTGGTCTCCATGGCAACCAGAGCTAAAGATGATGATCCCCAGAGCTCTGCTGCCCCACCCTCTAGCTTTCTACCTGGAACATGGAGAAACCCACCCTCTTCCCCAAATCCGGGCACAGGCAGCGCCCCGCCCCCACCCCCCTCCTGAGGAGCTGCCCCTGTGCCAGGCTCCAGGAGACACTACCTGGGCAGGGCACAGATGGCCAGGGAGTCAGGGCGGTGGTGGGCAGGAGGCTGTGTCCTCCTCCCGGCCCTCTGCTGGCCCCGCCCTGGAGCCCCCTGCTGGGCATCTCTCTGTTGCACAAACCGCCCACCCTGCACCCTGCACCCCTCCAATTGTTGGGAATCAGTCCACCTGGTGGTCCCCTGCCAGGACTCCCTTCCCACCACTCGGCCCCCACTCCCCGGGGCTGCAAGTCACCCGGCTTGTCCTTCCCAACTCCACTGGCCTGACCACTGCCCACCCTGTGGCCACTGCTGGAAACCAAATGCCCATCAAAGGGCTTGAGGGGCTCCAGGTGTCGGCAGGATGGCACAGGCTGCCCCTTCGCCCCCATGTAACTGAATGGTAAATGCTGGAAGTGAGGGGACAACCCACACAGACCCTCTCAGGTGAAATCGGAGGGTGGCCTGGCAGGGGACCCTGGGGCTGGAGGACAGTGGAGCAGCATGCCCGCAGGAGACCCAGGTTGGCACCTCCAGGCCCTGCCTACTCTCAGGAGGGCCAGGTAGGCAAATTCTGCCCCGTTGAGGACGGTGGTCCTGCTGACACTCTGGGGTGCCTGGAACTCTTGGAGGGTCAGGACTGCCAGTGGGCCCAGCTCCCCCTGACCCAGATGCTGCAGGGGGTGTGGGGCAGTTCCGGCAAAGAGGGATCCCACTACAGAGCACTTCCCCACCCCCACTCGGGAACACCAGCAGGGATCGGTGGCACGAGTCCAATGCCGTGCCCTCAAGCCTGTCTACACCACACTGTCATTAGAATCAGAGGCCACCAATGTGGCCCAGGAGGGCTGCCGGCGGGCTAACATGGACAACTTCAACACAGCTGCCCAACTGACCAGGAAACAGTAAAAAACACCAGCCCGACAGGGAAAGGGCCAACTAGGCTAAGAAAAGGAGGCGCCGTGTGGCGGTAGTGCGGAGGTGCAGGACGTGCGGGAGGGACCTGGCTTGGACTTGAGAACAGCCACCCTGGGTCGTCTGCAGGCAGCGGCTGACAAGGTGAGACGTGGAGAAAACTCCAGCAGAGGCAGCCTGGAGACAAACGCCCACGGAAACCCCAGGAATGCACGCCACCCTGGGAGGGCTGCTTCGCAGGTAAGAGACGGCGACATTCAGAAGCCACTCAGCTGGGGCACAGAGGGAGCCGAGCTGAAAGAAGAATCGATCAGGAGCCCAGGAAGCCTGAGCCGTGGCGCCACCATCCTCACCTCCGGAGGGCGGAAAGAGAACTGAAGGGCACGGAGAAATGATGCCCAAAACCCCTGAAATCAGGCACAAGACAGAAACACAGGGATTCAAGTAGCCGAGCAGACCTCAATCGAGATAAACCAAAGGAACTCACATCCAGACCAGGCTGGCTAAGGACACAGGCCCCCACCCCATCACAAGGCTTCCTTCCTGGGGGACTTGAGCATTTCCTATCCCATACCCCCCACACCTGCAGCTGAGGCTGAGTCCCAGGTGGGCACCAATGGGAGGTGGGGCTCCCTCTTCTGGCTCAGCTCCACTGTGGGAGGGGACCCACCTTGGGCAAAGCTCGAGGAGGGCACAGCTCTAGAACACGCCTGAAGGCTCCCCCAGCTCCTAGGGAAGTGCTGCACGGAGCTGGAAGAGGACATCTCCCCTCCCCGCCCCCACAGCTCCCCAAGTGGGGTCTCTCTACAGCTGCTTTGCCCGGGGAGAGGCAGGCCACAGCACCTCGTCCCTTCCTGTAGGTGCCAGACTTCAGGGCAGCAGGGTGTGGGGAGGTCAAGCCTGAGGCTCTTGCCACACAGAGGGGGTGTGGTGTAAGGCAAGGGGGGGCAGAGTTGTGGACCTGACTCAGAGCATCCTGGGCTGCAGTGTGATGGCCTGTGGGCACTGCTTCGCCCCTCCCCGAGGCAAATGTCTGAGTACCTGCTGCAGAGGGCAACAGACTCCAGCTGCTCACAACAGCGATGAGCCTGGGGGTGGGGGTCAGTACCCAGAGTTGTTAAATATTTCATCCAAAACGTCAGATTTCCAACAAAAAACGACCGGGCAAACAGGAAAGTGACACGCACAGCAGTGAACAGGTAGGCAGCAGAAATGGCCTGGGTGGCTGGAGGCCGTACCAGATGGGGAGGTGGCTAGGCAGTGGCAAGCAGGTAGAGCCCCAGCAGGATGGGACGCTGATGCTCACTGCCCAGGGGGGTGGACAGAGGAAGGGGATGAGCAGCAGCGGCAGACTCAAAGGTGCGTCACAGGAGAGTGGGCACGCTGAAGGGAAGAGAAAGGAGAAACGCAAGCACAGGGCTTCAGTAACTCCGAGGGCCGGGAAGGCACCGACAGACACACTGAGAGGAGCCGGGAGAACATCCAGTCATGGCCAAAAAGGTCCCAGGTTTATTGGAAACCACCACCTGCACCTTCAGGAAGCTCAGGGACTCCACGTGTGCAGACCCACAGACAACCTGGGACAGAGACACGGACTGTCGGACAGAATCTTAAAAGTGAGCACTATTAGGACCAGTAAGTTAGTTCAACAAGACTGAAGGATTCAAGATGGATAAAAATCAACTGTATTTCTAGCAACTTTCAATGAACAATCTGAAATGGAAATAATTCTATTCACAATGGCACAAGGAATGAACTACTGAGGAATGAATTTAACAGAAGTTGTTCAAGTGGCAGAAACTGTCTGCACATCACCCCCCTGTGGGTGGTCTGTTTGTGGGACACACGGAGACCCCAGAACTCTATAATGAGGGTCTAACGGGCACTTCTGCAAAGTATGAGGACAGCACACAGACTGGCACCATGAGCCACCGAAGACAGTACCACCAGAAGGGTGGAACCCCTGCAGAGGATAAGCTGGGTAGGGTGCTTGCAACACCAGGCGGCAGGGAAATGCAAATGAAAACCACCAGTCACAGAGACCCATGCAGCGGAACAACTTGCCTGCCCACCTTGCTGGGCGTGAACACAGCAGGGCCAGGGAGGGGCTGCTGGAGACCCAGCTCTGCAGGGATGGAGGGTGCACTGGGACTCTGCAAGAGAATGTTCTTGAAGGCAGAAAGGGAGGGCAGGGTGTGCTTGCTGATGGCTGTGTGCAAAGGCAATGTGAGTCCAGGGCAAGATGAGGGTCAAGGTGACGTGAGCCCGAGCAGAACCGACTTTCTGCCAGCCCCACCCCCAGAGAGGGCATGGGGCCCGCAGCTGCTTCTCCCAACACACAGGTGGCCGTGTCCCAGCAGACACCCCAGTCCTGGGTGGCAGGTGGAAGCTTGTACGTTCTCAGCAGAATCTTCTGGAGATCCCAATGGGCTCTATACACTGGGTGCCTGTCCCTAACTCTGGAATGCTACTCCTACTCCCTCACCTTGCCCAGACTTGGGGTCACTAGCCTCAGGGAACCCCCTCTGGCTGCCCACTGTTCAAACTGTGCCAGTGCCAGACTCAGGTCCTGTGCACTGGTGCCTGGCAGCCCCCATGACCCCAACTCTGAGCAGAAAGGCTGCAACAGAGGGGTGGGGACAGCAGGGATGGGGCACTGAGGGGCCCTTCTCGGCTCCACACAGTCTTCCTGGGCTGTGCTGATGTAAGCTATTGACCGTGCCCTCTGTCCCCTGCAGCTGTATTCAGCCAGCGGAGTGTCTGGGGAGGGCCAGATGGGGAGAGAGCCCACTCTGCTCCAGCCACAGGCAGTACGACTGCTGGTCTGGCTGTGGGGACGGTGTGCTGTCCCTCCCGGCTCCTGCTCCAGGGCCAGTGCCTCCCGACTATCCAGCCCTCATGCCATCGGTCAACCCCAACTGAGACCTCCCCCTCCCAACTCCAGGGCCCGGGCTGCACAGGGCTGAGGTGAGGCCTCGAGCCAAGGTGGTCCCGTGTGAAGCTGCAGGGGTGGAGTCACGTGAGAGCCCAGGATGCCTTCTGGTGTCAAACACCAAAGTTAAAGGTTTATTAACCACAGAAGGGCCCTCTGCCGCTCAGGGCTGCTGGCCAGCACCTGCTCTGGCCAAGGCCGCGGGCAAGGTCTGTCCTCAAGTAGGTCCCCCTTGCCCACCCAGGGTCCACGGCCAGGCCCTCAGGGAGTCCGGCACCCAGGCACAAGTCCCCTGTGCAGGGCAGGTCACTTGGCCAGGTCCTCTGCCACTGCTTTCCGGACCTTGTCCTTGAGGTAGGCGCCTTTCTGCCAGTCAGACTTGAGCTCCAGCCACTCGTAGTGCGGGACCTGGCGGGGTGGGGGTGGGGTCAGCCTGGCCCCAAACCCTGACGGGCTGGGAGTGGGGACCCACGCCATGCTTGTCAGGGCTCAGAACTGGGTGGGGCTGAAAATGGCTCTAAATTTTAAAGAGGTGTTTAAAAAGATGCCCAGAGAAGACATGGCGACAGGACACCCGTGGGGCTCGCACAGCTGTGGGCCCTGGCCCTTCGCAGGCCACCACCCTCCGGAAGGGGAGGAGGAGGTGCTGAAGGGCTCCCGGGTGGGAGCCACCCCCAGCTGCCCGGCGGGTACTCACGTCCACCACCAGGAAGCCAGCTGCCCGCACATGGCGCCTGGCCAGCACGAAGCGCCCCAGCAGATCTTTGCTTCGGCTGCTGAAGTTGGGGAACTCCCAGCGCAGGAAGGCCAGCCTGGGGGGAGGGGAGGCTCTGAGTGCTCGCCTCTGTCCCTGTCCTCACAGGGAAGGGCAAACCCAGAGAGGAGCCCACAGGGACGGCCTGGGAGCTGTGCACCCTACCTTTTGGCCCCAGGGGGCAGTGGCTGGCCCTCAGAGGGTGGGGCAAGGTGAGGGGCCACAAAGTCCCTCAGGGGCAGGAACTGGCCCTCGGCGTCCAGCAGCACCTCAGCATCTGGGGAGGCGGCGGCAGATGATGACATTAGGGGTCTCCCCAGAGAGCGTGGGGGGTGGATGGGGTGGGGGGCAGGGGGGGCACATAGGGCAGGCCTCAGAGCAGGTTGGGCAGAGGGGAGCCTCACCAAGAACCCAGCCGTACTGCGTGGGCACCGTGAAGTGACCCCTGTCGGCGCTCCCCAGAAGCCCCTTCAGGGCCCCCTGCAGCTCCTTCTGCAGGGGCGTCACCCTTCTGTCAAGGGCTGAGGGCCTGGGGACCAAGGCGGAGGCTGGCAACAGGGGGCCGGCGTACTCAGGGTGCTCCAGCCTAGCGGTGGCATTGATGTGCAGCAGCTTCTGGAAGGTGCTTTGACCCTTTGGGGACCGGTCACCTAAGGTAAGAGGTGCAGTGAGCAGGGAGGGGGCCCAAGGGCCAGGAGGACCATGGAGGAGGGGCACCAAAGCCCAGGGGGAGGGGCTGCAGCACCCCCACCCAGCCCTGCTCTGGCCTCAGCCAGGACAGAGAGGGGCCCCTTCAGAGACAGGCAGAGTAGCAAATGTGGGGGAGCCCCAACCTGCCCTATTCTCCTGCCTGGCACTGGGGCCTGGGGCCTGGGGCCTGGTGCCAGGCTCCCCTCCATGCAGGAGAGAGGGGTCCCCCCACCACTTACTTAGGAACTGGGCGTGGAACTCGGGGCAGAGCACGGCCCGGAGCTCGGCCTCCTGGGCCTGCTCCAGCACACACAGGGCCCACAGCACATCCACCTGCTGGGCCGGGTCCAGTCCTGCCAGCTGACACCCCAGCTTCTCATGCACCTGGAGGATGGCGGGGGGAGGCACAGGGGAGGGCTCTGCTCAGCAGATGTGGACACCCTGGCTGGCTGGTCAGTGTGGCCTCATGACCTGGCCACGCTGAGGCCAAGGTGGCTATGGAATAGCCCCAGCAGAGGTCCTCTGGTCAGACTGAGCCCCCTTGAGGAAGGTACCAGAGACCACCCCCATCCCTTGGAGCCCGTCTGGATAGAAGGACAAGCAACCGGGTTTCCCTACTGCCCCTGACCACCTCTACCCACACCCTGGCAGGGCCTGCAGCACAGAACCATGGGGGGCCCAGAGCAGGGGAAGTATGTCCGGCCCCAGGAGGAACTGGAAGGCATGAGGAAAGCAGCTGACTGACCAGGTGCTGCCCCTGCCCGCCCCACAGGGGCCCTGCCCATGGACCACCCTGACCCCAAGCAACTTTGGGTTACAGTTAGGGTTCCAAGTTCCACCCCCACACAACCCCTGGGCTGTCTGGCTCCAGGTGGCTCCTTCTGCCCTGTGGCCCCTGCCCAGCCTCCCTCCTTCCTCACTCTGTACCCATCCTGCCCACAGGGAGAAAGCAGGGGTGGGGAGCGGCTGTGAAGACTGCACCAGGCTAAAGAACATGTCCTCTTGCTCTGGATGGAAGTTCAGGCGGGCGAAGGCCAGGAGCACGTTGCAGAGGGGTGCTGTCGCGATGCTCTGGGCTTTGCTCAGGACGTGCTGGGGGCAGGAGGACAGAGAGGCAAGATGAGGGCGCCCTGTGCATGCTGCTCCCCACTGCCACCACCCAGCCAATTCCACAGGGCGTGGCCAGACCCCATCCTGGCAAGGCCTAACCAGTGAATGCTGTTTCGACCGGCTGCCCGTGACCCAGAGCACGAGCACCACCTTCTCCTGACTGTTGGGGGCACAGCGAAGCCGGGTCTCAGCCTTGCCTTCTGCATGGCTCCCCGATGGCCACCAAAGACCGGGGGGATGCGGAGAAAATCACCATCAACTGACTTTCTTCCTGACACAGTGCCTCTCCAAACATGCTGGAGCAGGAACGCCATGTCTGCACCAGGGGGTGTTTCTGTCCCCTGGGCCTCCTCAAGGGACCCACTAGCCTGGGGCCTCAGGTACACACCCTGCTTACCTGGGCAAAGGCCTCAAACAGGGGCAGGTTGAGCCACTTGAGGAAGGCGAAGGACTTGGCGCAGCGGGCCACCTCGCTGGATGTGAGTCCAGGCATGTGGGGGAGCAGGTCGGTGGCCAAACGCTGGAGCACCTGGGTCTGGTAGAAGCCGAGTTTGCCTTTGGGACAGAGCAGACCCTGGGGTTCACTCAGTGGCCCACCCAGCACCCCCCCAATGTGGCCTCCAGGTCCAGGCACTTGGTGTCTGTGACCAAATTTATCCCTGAGGCCCAGCAGGGGAACAGGGCCCATGAGTCACAGTGCTTCTATGGCAGCCTGCGGAGCCAGGGCCTGCCATGGGTGGGGCGGGCCCTGAATTTGACTTGGCTGCAGCCGGAGTGCCGGCCTGCCCCAGGACATGGCTCACCATAGGCGTAGGTCAGGTCCAGGAGGATGCCTTTGGTCAGAGGGAGAGGCTTCTGCACCAGGTGGTAGGAGATGGCCCGCAGCAAGGGCACTGCCCGCCGGTTCTGAGCTGCCAGCACCACCAGCACCTTCCGCAGCTCCTCAGGGCCGAACTGTTCCACCAGGTCCAGGCTCTGTCAACCACAGCCGGCAGGGGTCAGGGCCGGCCCCAGGGCCAGGGTCCCATGCAGTGCGGCCCCTGTGAGACAGCAACTGGGCCTGAGCTCACTAACCATGGGCCCTCTGGGTGGCTCCCGGGGCACCCTGTCCCCGGCCCAGCTCGCCCCCAGGCACACAAGCGATGGGGCTCACTCACTGAGGCAACCCTTAGGCCAGGCCCCAAGCAGGGAGGATGTGTGCATGAGGCCTCTGGGGAGCGAGCTAAAGCACAGGGTCCGGCTGGCCCTTTCTGCAGGCCCTGCCCTCAGCCCCCATACCTTGTCCTCCAGGCGTGTCATCAGCGACTCCGAGAGGTGCCCTGTCTTTGTCATGACAGCCACCAACGTGCGGCCGTCCTCAATCTCTGCCCAGCGCCGCTCCAGCTGCAGGAGCAGCTCGGCCAACAGCTCCCCGGAGCCTCGGTCCTGCATGTGGGCAGCGCTGGTCTCGGCCAGGAAGGCCAGGTGCTTATACCTGAGCCTGCGCAGGCGCCATCGCACCTCCTGCTCCACTGACCGCAGCTCCTTGGAGGACGCGGGCAGCTCCAGTGCATAGAGGCTCCGGAGCAGCTTCACAAGGGTCCCGTGCCAGACCGTGGTTATCTAGAAGAGAGCCAAGGCATGGTCACCATGGGCCCCCAGGGTGGGCTGAGGGCGGAGCCGAGGGCCAGCTCCTGTCACCTGCGGTGAGAACTCCGAGTGGCGAGGCTACCCCAGAACTTCCCTGACATGCGCCCACAGGGCCCTGCAGATGGATGGCAGAGTGAAGCCCATGGGGTGTGACTCAGGGTCCAGGAGGGACCTGGAGACTTTTACAGGCCATCTGTGCCAACAAACTCATTCTCTGCTGACAACAATGACAACTGTTAGCAGTTAGAGACAGACTTTTCATCCTGGTTGGTGTAGCTCAGTGAACTAAGCACTGGCCTGCAAACCAAAGGGTCACTGGTTTGATTCCCAGTCAGGGCACATGCCTGGGTTGTGGGCCAGTTCCCAGTGGGGGGCACACAAGAGGTAACCACACATCGATATTTCTCTCCCTCTCTTTCTCCCTCCCTTCCCATCTAAAAATAAACAAATAACTGTAACATTAATTCTGGGAAGCCTGACCCCGGAACCCCTTTCCTCTAATGAAGCAGCTAGTCCTGTATCTGAAGCTGCCCAGGGAGGCCCTTTGCCCTGAGGTGTGCCGGCACCCCTGAACCCTGGCACGTCGCACCCCCAGGCTTTGGAGGATGAGCAGCTGCCACCATCAGCCCTTCCAAAATGCAGGCACGCTTGTGCATACGCCAGGCACCAGCAATCCTCAGGCCTCACTGCTCCACCATATGGCATTTTCCCGAGGTCTGTGTGGGAAAAACAGACCCAGAGCCTGGCCCTCCGCACCTCAGCGCCTCCCTTCTCCCCAGTCTCCGCCCGGTTTCTGGACAAGGGCAGTGGTGCTGTGCCCTGCAGGGTGTGTTTCCAGGCCTCAGTGAGGTGCGGGGCTGCCCTCGGATCCTGCGGCCTGGACCTGCTGTCTTGCAAGGCGGGCAGGGCTCTTACTGCTGGTGGCATGAGGCTCCTGACCTTGGCCTCTGTCTGTGAACCCCCTCTTGGCTGTTGAGGGGGCACCTAGACCACGTGCATGGTTCAAGGAACAGAAAAGTTGTCTGTGAAGGGCTGGGGGAGGAGGAAGGTACTGAACTGGATCTCAGCACCTGATCACCCAGCGAATACTGTGTCCTGTTTGTTACTGGCTGAAATTTTGTTACAATGTTCAGGCCCCCCAAATTTGCACCCTCTGTGCCTATGTTTAATAGAACAAGCCTCAGAACGAGAGCACCCTTAACTAAGGTAATTTTTCTGAGCCACGTCCTCCTTCACCTTTGCCTGACCCTCTGGAGAGCTGACTGGCTGGACGTTGCCCACACCCTCCTCAAGTTCCTGGGCTCCCCCACCAGCCCAGCTGCCCCATACCCCTTCCAGCCTCAAGAGTATGCTGCCTCCTGCCAGGCCTGAGGGCTGGGGTACCAGCTCGCTGCAGGGAAGGCCCACAGACTGGCTGCCTTGAACTCCCGCGCCCACTTGAGGCCCTGGAGCCCACCTGACTGTTGACGAGGCGCAGAAGCTGCTGAAAGCGGGCGTCCTGTATGAGTGGGGCCTTGTCCTCTGGCTTCTCGGACAGCAGGCGGGAGAGCTGAATGAGTGCGAGGGCTGCATGGTTCTGGTGCAGGCATCGGCCATCCCCAAGCAGCCCCAGGAGCTCCTCTGGCCGAGTGGCTCTCTCAATGAGCTCGTCCACCTCCTGGCGCTCTGGGTAAGGGGTAAACATCTGTTCTTTCCCCACATGCTGTGACAGGGACCCTGGGACGTGGGAACTGGGTAAGGCAGCTGAGGAAGCCAGAGTCTTATGGGCTGCCCGGGCCAGCCTCAGCTGGCCCGCAGGAGGCCCTGCAGGGGCCAGGTGAGCAGCGTCTCTCAGGAGACACGTGCATCGTTTTACCAGGCGAGCTGCCATGACGGCAGGGCGGCAGGGGGGTGATACTCCCAGCAAGTGTTTTCGAGGCCCTTAAGAGAAAGAGAGACAAGGGGCTAGTGCGGGCTCTTCTCACCTCACAAGCACAAGGGAAAGCATGTGTTCTCTCCCCAGACCTCAAAGCTCAGGAGCTCAGTGAGGGGTGGGCTGCACTCAGCCCTCTGGAATGGGAGTCTATGCAGGGAGGGCCCGAGCAACTTCACTTTCAAATGTTAAGATTCCTCAGGATTAAGAATTAATGGAGCCCTGGCTGGTGTAGCTCAGTGGATTGAGTGTGGGCCTGTGAACCAGACAACTATAGTTCCATTCCCAGTCAAGGCGCATGCCTGGGTTGCAGGCCAGTTCCCAGCAGCGGATGCACCAGAGGCAACCATACATTGATATTTCTCTCCCTCTCTCTTTCTTCTCTAAAGATGATTAAGTAAAATCTTAAAAAAAAAAAAAAAAAGGATTAATGGAGAGAGTCACCCTGGAGTGGTTCAGTGGATTGAGCACTGGCCTGCAAACCAATGGATGGGCAGCTCAGTTCCCAGTCAGGGCACAAGCCTGGGCTGCAGGCCAGGTCCCCAGTAGGGGGAGTGTGAGAGGCCATCACACACTGATGTTTCTCTTCCTCTCTTTCTTCCTCCCTTCCCCTCTCTAAAAAATAAATAAAGTCTAAAAAAGAGAACTAATGGTGAATGGCAATGGGACAGGATGTTTTTGATCAGATGCTCCTGAAAGTCCCTGAACACAATGAATACCCCACGGCTCCTGTGGGAGCATCTTAACACTCTGGCAGGGTGCCCCCCCCCCAAGTCAGCGCCAACCCGCTTAAAACACACACTAACTCCTAGGAACGAAACTCCTGCACCGACCACCGACGGCACTTCGCATGTGGCCCGGACCTGTCTTCACAGTTTTATGTCTCCTCCCAGCGGCCCGCGCCTCCTTCTCACCAGGCCGGGTGGGCAGGGCAGGGCAGGCTGCCCGGCCCTCACCTGCTGCCACAGGGTCCAGGAAGTGGCCCTCCCTCTTCTTGACCCCAGACCGGGTTCCTTCCCTAAGGAGTTATCACAGATCCCCAAGACGTTGCTTCGCACAGATCTGCCTGTCAGTCTTATTCACAGGAGTCACCAAATGACCTGAGTGAGGCGCGTGTCCGAGGCAGGGTGAAATGTTAACCCGGCCTTCCTCCCGCCAAATCCAGAGCGACTTTGATCTTTGGTTTCCCAGAACTTGGGTATGGCCGGCACGTTCCGCTGCCACGCGAGCGGTTACTGCCAAAGAACTCGTCCGACTCCACCTAGAGAAAGGGGCCCCAGGGCAGGAAGCATTGGCCGCGGCGGGCAGGAGAACCCTACAAGCTAAGGAGGGAACCGAGATCAGACGCCCGGCGGGGTTTCAGCCCACACCAGCGCGGGCTGCGTCCCAGCGCGCCAGTCCAGCCTCCCCTCCGCCCCGCGGCCCACAGACCTACCCCGCAGCCCCGGCCAGCATCGCCGCTGACCTCCACGCGTCCCGCACCAACCTCGGCACACGCCGGGCGGCGCGCTCATTACGTCACTCAAAGCGCCGCCGGAAAAGTGGCTTGCCGCAGGTCACCCAGGCGGAAGTCACTCCCACTGCTCTTTTCCGGTCAGGTGCCATCTTTGTTGAGGTCATACGGACGGAAGTCACTTCGATGGCGCCTTTCTGGCCGGATGCCATCTTTGTTGAAGGCAGTGGAGCGAGAGCTAGGGGATGGCAGTTTAGGACACTGGGAGGGGAAGAGAATTCAAGAGCTCGGAAAGGAGGGTCAGAAGGCCTGTGAGCTCTGCAGCCGGTATTAGGCCTCCTGAGGGGTGTGTAGGCGGCCCTGTCCCCGCAGCGCGAGGAGTGGACCGGTCGGGGGCGGGGCCGCTACGTGGAGACCTCCTGCGCGCAGTGGCCGCACCAGCCGGAGGTCGTCCTGAGGGAAGGGGGGCTCCACTTGCGGTCATTTTGCAATTAAAAAAAGGGAAAGAATTCTGGGGTTTTATATACCATCTTTGACTTTTAGGTATTGATGTTTAATTTAAACATAATAACAAAGCGCAGGGTGAGCCAAGCAAAACGTAGGTCTATGTGTGGGCTTGGTTACTTTTCCTTTCTGCATAATTTTTTTTTCATTTTAGTTTTTATTTTGATTGTTGTTCAAGTACAGTTTTCTGTCTTTTACTCCCATCCCAGCTCACCCTTCCAGCCCTCCCCCCCTCCCATTTCCACCCCCCCCAGGTTTTGTTTTTGTTTTTGTTTTTAATGCAGAACGCTTCACAAATTTGCGTGTCATCCTTGCTCAGGGCCCATGCTAATCTGTGTATTCCAGTTTTAGTATATGTGCTGCCCAAGCGAGCACGCTTTCTGCATAAATTTTTATTTTCCATGGGATTAATAATTGCCTTATGTTTTTATTTAAGATTTCACGTCTTGCCCTGGCTGGCGTGGCTCAGTGGATTGAGTGCCCGGTTGCAAAGCAGAAGGTCCTGGGTTCCGTTCATAGTCAGGGATCATGCCTGGGTTGTGGGCCAGGTACCTAGTAGGAGGTGCAAGAGCAACTGCACATTGATGCTTCTATCCCTTCCCCTCTTTCTAAAAATAAATAAAATATTTTAAAAAGTTTTTGTGTCTTTATCACAAATTCTACCCCAAATCTTTCAAAATGCTCTGCACATCGCATATGTCACTTTGATCTCCCTGAGCCTCAGACTTGCATCATCACTTCTAGGCTAGCTGTTATTTTCTATCCTGCTTTTATTTCTCGTTGGTGCCTAAGTTTGGCTGGAGCACATCCTCCAGTAGCTTGATGAGAAAGGGTGAACAAGGAAATTTAAAGACCTCACTGTTCTAAAATGTCTTACAGCCTCCCACTGTACTGATAGCTTGGCTATGAGTGTTTACAAGTAACTTTCTGATTTGAAGGCTCACTCCATGAACCTCTAGCTTTCTAGTTCCTCATGTTTCTGATGAGTCCAAAACCTGAATGTGAAAAGTTCACGTATTTGATGGTCTACCCTCCCTTCGCTCCTCCCTTCCTTCTCCCCTCTTGACTCTGTTTCTTTTTTGGAAAGTTTCTAAAAGTGTATATATCCTTATTCCAGGGTTCTGCTGTAAAGAGACCCCAGAGAGATCCCACACCCCTTTTACCCTGCAAGGACACAGTGAGAAGTCTGTAGTACAGAGGGGTTCTTACCCCACCCTGCTGATACCCTGCTCTTAGACTTTCAGGCTCCAGAATTGTTTATGAGTCACTGAGTTTATTTATTTACTTATGTTATAACAGCCTGGACAGACTGAGATAACATAATCCCACAATTATGCTCCCCGTTATGGACCCAGAGGAATTGAAAACATGTCCACATGAAAACCTGCACGGGGATGTTTAGAGCAGCTTCATTTATAAATACCCAAACTTGGAAGCAACCCAGATGTCCTTCAGTAGGTAACATAAATAAACTGCGTGTGGCTGGCTGTGTGTGGACGCAGAGCTCAGCACTCCTTGGGGAGCCCTGGATGTTCTGCTGGCCCATGCAAAGCAAGCCCGTCTGAGGTTGGGTCCCACAGACTCAAAGCTGCATGGCCTCACCCGGCACCAAGACCCTGACTATGGAGCCCAGTCGAGGCCCTCAGCAAACTCACAGAACATAAGGAGTCCATACTGCTCCTGATGTCTCCAGGGACACCCTCCCTCTGTGACTCCAAGCTCTGTGACAGGGAAGTCTGACCGAAGCCCCACTGCCCTTACTGGAGACGGAGGCCCAGGAGCCCACTGGCTGCCACTCATTGCCCCCCCCCCCCCCGCCCGGCCTGTTTGGGAACCCTGGTCATTGTCACTCCTCCAGGATCTCCCCCTCCCTGCTTTCTCTGACCTTTACCTTAGAAGATTGGCAGCTGCCCTGTGTCCTCCTGTCTTGGAAACATGTATGGTTTGGGGGGCCAATGGTTCTTCTGTCAGCCTGGACTGGGAATGTTCCCAGGGACAGGCCGTCACTGTGAAGGGAGGTCACGCCCCGTCCCCCAGTTTCATGGGAGGCAGGAGCCTAGGTCTGGGCCCAAGCCCACGGCAGTGGTACAGGTGTGAGAAATCTTCTCCTGGTGGGGCAATGAGCCCACCCAGGGGGGAGACAGGTGGTCTGTGAGGTACCTGGATCCTGAGCCCCCTGCAGGCTCCACTATGCTCCTGTCCCCACGCCCAGCAATGGCCTGAAAGCTATCAGACCCTAGGGCTGGCATGCTTCCCTCTGGGCAGCTTCCCAGGACAGACAGACATGGAGTGAGTGGGTTGTTATCAGCAGCAGGGGTAACCTGTAAGTGGCACTTTTTCTTTTTAAAAGATCAATCAGTTGGCTCTTGCATGTGCCCTAACTGGGGACCTGGTCTGAAATCCAGGCATGTGCTCTGACCAGAATTGAACCAGTGACCCTCTGGTCTGTGGGATGTCGCTCAACCCACTGAGCCACACCAGTCAGGGCATGTGGCACATTGTAAGTACCACTGCTGTGCTGTGCTGTGGAAATAAGTATTGCTCCCTATTGTCAAAAACCATTGCCAAGGGCCCGGTGTTCCCACTGTGCGATGGGGACACAGATGAAATGGCCGGCTAGTTACCCAACCAGTGCTGAGTAGCAGGCAGGCAGGCCACCCTCCATCAGCCGCCAGTGCACCTCACCTGAATGTCATTGCACCCTGGTCCCCTGCCTTCCAGCGTCCTGCTGTGCCAGCGCCATCCTTCGAAAGATCTTCCAGCTAGCCTTCCCTGCCGCGGGCGTCCCACACTCAGACGTCTCCCCTTTCCCCATTCCTTGGTTTAATTAAACAGAAACAGGGGTTCTGAGCGGAGATGAAGAAAGAGTGGCGGGTGGATGCCAAACTCACGGACCTGACTTCATCTCAAGTCCTGGAGACTGTGCGCAACGTGTGTGCAGCCTGTGTGGGCGCGGCAGCGTTTGCGAGGGCGCCCCCCCGTGGCCGCGACGGTACCTCCGTGGGGATAGAGTGTCCGTGCGGAAGATGGAAAGTTCTGGGGGTGGTTGGCCGTGATGGGGGCACAACAATGGGAATGTGCTCAGTGCCACTGAGTTGTACACCGAGCCTTGGTTAAGTTGGTAAATTGTAACGTGCTTTTTTGGTAAGATTTAATAATAATGCTGGGACGTTGAGAGTTGAGTCCTGGACCCCGCCCAAAGCCCCTCCTGGCGCCGGGCGGAGTTTTCTGTCGTCCTTTCTCTGGAGACAGACGGACTAAGGCCACTTCCGATGTGCGGGTCTCGGTTCACAGAGGATAGAGAAACACCGGACGCCGGCCCACGTCTGCCGGCAGGGGGCGCCGCGCACCCGCCCGTTGTGCTTCCCACGGACTCAGCTGCTGGAGCCTCGCAGAGCCGCCTCGGACTCGCCCCCTGTGTATCCTACGGTGACACTGCTGGGGGTGGTGGGTGGTCGGTTGCTCCGCAGCTCTCACCTGCGTAAGAGCCAACTTTGGCCTTAAGAATCAGGGGGAAGGGAAGGAGAGAGGGAGAGAAATATCAATGTATGGTTGCCTCTGTGCATTCTCTGCTGGGAATCTGGCCTGCAACCCAGGCAAGTGCCCTCGCAGGGAATCAGCTGGTGACCCTTTGGTTCGCAAGCCCGCGCTCAATCCACTGAGGGCGAGAAAGTGTTCTTTAAAGACTGTTTAAAAGCAAGAATTGTCAAACAAATGCCGTGATGAGAATGCATCTGTCGGGGCAGGATCAGGAGAGAAAGCCTTGCAGTAACCCCCGACGGGACTGTGAACGGGGCCCGGGGTGGGGCTGCGAAGGAGCTCAGGCCACCGCTGGGGCTCCTGCGGGGGCGCACTGCGGAAAGCCGGTGGGGCCAGGTGCCGCCTGGGTGCGCGCCCTCACGGTGGGGCGCTACCATTCTGTCCCTGGTGAGCAGGGCGCAGGTGCAGGAGTGTGGGGTGGGGAGCTGCTTCTTTCTGGGTTGTCTCAGACGACCCCTGAGGGGTCCCCCAGCAGGGCCTCTGCTCTCCCCACCAACCCCCGTGACCCCCTGTGAGCTGGCCTCTCTGAAGCCTCTGGCAGCTGCGCAGCGTCCAGGAGGAAGAGGGGTCAGGATGCTTCTCAGGAGCTGGGTGCGCTCCAAGTGCTCACATGTGCCCAGTCTTGGAAGTTCCCGGGTTCCTGCAGGGCGCCTCTGGGAGTCTCGGTTTGGCCCCTTTCTCCCTCCTTGCTGGTTCATCCAGCCCTCGCTCTGTGCTCTCTCTCGGGAGCCACTGCATATGGACAGGCATTCAGCTCTTGGAGGGGCTGATTCAGTCCCTCTTCCCCGCCATCGAGACCCCTCAGTTGAGGCAGGAGATAGGAAGGAAGGAGGAAACTTCAGAGGTGCCCCAGGGCTAAGATAAAGGACATCAATACAGGACAGAGACCCTGTTCTAAGACTCGTTCCTACTTTCTGGAAAAGCGCTGAATCATGGTGACCCACGAATGCACCTGGGCAGAAGATGTGACCTGACCCCTGCTTCATTATAATAGCATTATAATAAATTAACATTGTG